TTTGTTAGAAAGAGAATGGTTTAGTGTTAATCAAACGTGTATCAGAAGTTTGTATGCTAGAACATTGTGTGGTGTTAACTATACACTTGAAACAGGACTGATAAAATCAATTGTTCAATCATCCATTTACAAATCTTAATTGAGTTTGTATATATGTAATGAATTAAAACTCATCGAATTGCAATTGAACTTAATAAGTTAGGTTTAGTCTTGCATGTCCGTGAAGCGTGCACTACATCAGTGGGACATTCACGATAGGGCCAGTTTGGTCAGTGTTCTTAAAAGATATGTCAAATGCATAGATATGGTTATATATTGAGTTTATTTAATACAACACATGTTTTAAACCAAACAAAATACACGTAAAATTACAATAATACCAAGTAATCGATACATTATGCAATTAGTATCGGTGTATGTATCATAGTGATGATATGATATTCAAAATATGTTCATGTGATTGAATAAGAAAGGACAATTGGAAGAATAGGCAATAGACGGATGTGGAATGAGTTCCCCTTGTGGGGACACGCATTGTCAGGTATCGATTAGATGTCCGTAACCTTAGCGATATTCTAATACCAGCAAATGGGAATTAAACCTTAGGAAATAACTAAATTGTCAGATATGAATGAGTCCTTGAAACAAATATTTGTTTTATCACAAGATTCTTTTGGTTTCAATGTGTTGCAAGAAGACATTAGGTTAGTTTATGTCATTAAGTAGCCAGTATAAAAACTACTGATAACTTACGCTTCTTAACTTAACTTTTTATCTAGATATATGATACCAACTCTTCTACTGCTGGTGTATCTCCTGATCCTGATGTCGTCCTCTGACCAGTACTATTGGCACACTCTTTTCTACAATAAAAATATTTTTTCGATATTGGATAGTGATGGCTAAATATTTGAACACAGTTATCAATATACCAAGCATACCTTTACCATGATAAAACATAAAAGTAAAAACAAGAAGTGTAATCACAATAAAACCATATATCTCATTTCCGCAATTTTAAAATGTAATTAATAAAAATTCAATAAAATCATATATCTAATGGTTTTGGAACTACCTTTTCTGGCTGATTTGCAGTGTCTCTGGGAGATATTCTTTCGTGGTTTCGGGTAACAAAACGGTGAGAAATGAAACAACCAATGTCATCACAGCGAACAGGTATAATGGTAGAGCACGTCCAAAGCCCGGAACACTTAAAGCCTATCAAACAATACCACAGATAGCTTGATCAGTCTGAGCAATTAAGCTTCAATGGCCACACAATTCGCGAAATTCGCGAGATTAGGAATGGTTAATAAATGGATTCCATTTCTTTGGCCTTTCCTAATTAAACACTCGAAGTGCTTTTTATTGACTATACATATCATATATAGTTTAATATAGATGCATCAATATTTTCTTCGCCCACTCATATTTACGTATACACTACACGTTTTCAGTACTGAAATGCAAACAATCACACTTAGTTCTTTTAGAATTGCAGTTCACGTGACTCTATATTTTCCTAATTCTGCATCATGCATTCTTCTCACTATATCTGTCTAAAATATCTTTTGAAACATCTTATGAGATTTGATTGACACAAATATTCCTATAGACATATACTTTAAAAAAAAATCTATATAAAACAAACAAATCGTTTTGGAAAAAAATTCCAAAACACTACCTATACATCTCGATCAGTATTGCACAGCGTTATGTTGTACGTGTACTAATAACAGTTATGTACAAGTATTACACTATGGAGTATGTTTATTACACTTGATCTAACACACAGAACCAGACATTGTTCTGGTAAGGATCTAATATATAATACGTACCAGTTGTATTATGTAAGGAGCGATAACAAGTCCGGAACCGCCAACGAAGCAGGCCAACCCCATTCCTGTACTTCGTAAACTCGTGGGGAATAACTCGGCTGCCCACACGTATACAGCTGCAAACGTGATGGTAAGACCAAACTTTCCAACCATCCCAAACGAAATAGAAAGTACTTCTGAAAGAACAATCGTCACATCATTATAACTTCAATACACGATTAAATATTGAAAAGATAACCATATAGATATCTTGCAAGTCATTTGCAAGTGTAATATCCCTATTAAATTGCTGCCCTGTAGGCGGGCTTTTTTAACATTTGTTGAGCAGAATTGTGTTCTTAATAAGCCATACAAGCAGATAATCCGAAGCATGACTTGGGCTGTACATAAAGTTTGGTGCAGGAGACAACACAAAATAATGCAAACACGTTATCAATGCAGGTGGCAAATTAACTATTGGCAAGTATCTATTGTGTACAGTTGAACTCGTAAAAGTTTCGCGGTTGCAGTATTGTTTTCAGTATTTTTTGGAGATATTAGTTATTATCATATGAACGCTTATCTGAATTTTTCGAAAACTTTTGTCAAAGTTTAACGAAATAATTGCTGACTGTTTGGACAACACGTTGGTGTTTTAAGTCAAGCATAAAGTTTTAATAATAAACCTATAACCTAGGAAACCATGAGTCTGATATAAACAATACCAACTTATCTACCCTATACATTTGCAACAATGCTACTAGATAGAACATCAATGTGTATAAACGTGTTTATCTCGTATGGAGATGGTATCGTGTTTGTCTTGTATATAGTTGTACATATACTTGCCAATGGGCCAGAATTGTTCAAGGATTCCCGTTATGAGCAAACTCACTCCACCTACTGTCATCCCCAAGATAAAGAGTTTTTTACGACCAATCCTGTCCAACAAAACAAACGCAACGGCGTTAGCTGGAAACTCAACAATACCAGCTAGTAGATGATTAAGGTAGAAATTCCCGCTCAGATTAGCTGCATTTAAGGCAAATCCGTAGTATGTTAGAATGACAACCATCCTGTAAGAAACAGTAGAATAAATAGAAATGATTAGCAGTTTGTAAGTTATATTTAATCACATTTTACGTGCAGTCTACAGTTTAGTGATATTTGGTATGTGATATTCCCAATCGGAATTAATATACCGAAGCTATCCCCCGTAATTTGATATGCAGCCACGTGTAACTATGACAGGGTAATATCATATATTGGTACACACCTGCATTGAGGGTTTTGCATTGCATGTCACGACCCATTTACAGTAAAACTATTTATAAGGTATCGGAATTGGACAATTTTTGTTTATTAAAAGTCCTGATCCGTTCAGTTTGCTTACCAGTTTATACAGATTATCACACATCTGATGGAAATGGACCAAGATGAGAAAAGGTGCCAGAATCTAAATTGCTCAGGTTCTCTGTCATTTGTATTGGTGAAATGTACGAGACTCAGCTTGTCTTCACTGTTATTATATTTAGCTATTGTACGGATTATGGAACAGGCTTCGTCATATCTACCCTGACTGATCAGCCAACGTGGTGATTCGGGAATGATCCTAAAAAGACCAGAAACATTGTTAACTTCTCAAATAGACCAACAAATATATATATTTCAGGTAATTTAACTGACAGAAATATGTCAAGGTCAGTAGAGATATAGGTTTATTATATGTATTAATTGTTTTTCGGAGGAGGGGTTAGTTTAAGAACAAACAAAAATTAAATTAAAAAACCAGTTAAAAGGACCGATTGTATTCATTTTCCATTAGATTTTAAGTCTTTTGTACCTGAAACAAACCCTGCAGGTAGGGCGTAAGCATTGTACCTGTTGCCCCCA